TAACATTTGAAAGAATTCACGAATTTCACGCTACGTACGACTAATTGACATGTGATAGCGACTGCGTCGATTTTTTCATGATATAGAATGATCGTAATTTGACGTTAATTGGGAGCGATAGATGTAAATCTCTTCGAAAGGTATTGAAAAATGACAAGTGACAATGGTGGTTAGCTCAATTGTTTTGCAATCTTTTGACGGATTTAGGTAAGTTTTAACTAGGTATGTTTCTTGATTATTCAAACCATTATTCATTATAAAAGACTTTAAAACTATTATAATTTTACAAGTCGCTAGCACAATCGCAGTACCTTTGAAATTAGACAATGAATGAACCCACTAAGTGGTGGGCGACGAATCCATCAGTCAGTTATGCGACGTCAGCGCGACGCGCACGCACGCGTCAAATATATATACAATTACTCATAACTATATCACGCACGTACTCACGTCATAGCCGCCATCATATAGAGTATGTGTATGATGTACATTACGTACGTTTTATTAAAAAAAAATAATATGTTACTGAAACTTTTTGGAAGTTTTTTTTTTCTTTTTTTTTTAATAAATTTCAATGCATTGAAAACATATTTTCATCTCCGAGCATCTTTTACAACCAATACTATAATTTGCTACGATACTACCGAGCGAGAATAAGAATAGAATATTGGAATATTTCTTTTCTATCTCCTTTTCGATATGATTATATGAGATAAGGATTTTTATGAACATTCAGGTACCTTCCTGCTCAAAACATCCTCGAACTAGAGCCGTCAAGCCCTGTGACATTATAGAGCTTCAATCAAATAAAACCTTCATTAGCTTTTGAAGTAGGTTTTATTTCATTGAACCTATTGATTATGACAGCGCTGTATTCGACATCAAAATCGAGGCTAATATAATAACAGAATAGCACTGTCCGTCGGGACTGTTTGCTGTGTTATATTACAAATAATAATGTATATAGTTATTAATACGTTTTCCTCATGAAACCATATTGGAATGATGAGCGAAGCATTGTAAATGCAACCTTGATAATAGGGCTCTAGGTATTTGTAAATTGACACGAAGAGAGATAAAATAGAAGAAATAATTTACCTTTTTAGGCGACTAACTAAAATGTGAAAATTTTAGTGGTAATCGATATCGCAGAAATATTTTTAAAGATGTTTTGTAAGATTTTATATTGATTATACCTACCTAATACTTATTGTTTTCTTTAGTTAGTCTGTAAATGTTGCATATTTTGAACTATAGCATTCCGTTGTTTTGTTAATGATATTTTTGTATGATAACTTTTTAGTTGTACCTAACTTTATTATTTCATATTAGATATGCTTATTTAAGTTTTCTACGTTAAATCTATCGTGAATGAAATTAAACTATTTTTACTATAGGTACAAGCTTTAACAATTTGATTATTATATGTATATGTCATAAAATTTTAAACTTGATGCAAACTTTTGCGTAATTTAACAGCAAATTTAAATTATGATAAAATTACATATGTGCGCTTATATTTTGGTGATGAAAAGTACCTATGACTAGACTACTTTCAACTTGGCACAGATTTCGGTTAAACTCAGCCAAAACAGTCGACTTTGACTAGCGACATTAATATAAGTAACTAATACATTTTCGTATGTGTGACAAAATTTGGCGTAAGTCTTCATGTCATTCATACATCACGTGCTTTAGTTAAACGTTATTCGATTCTATATTCGTTTTTTTAGTTTGTAACAAAGAAGATATCAGATAGATTATTTTTTGAACTTTGAGGTAGAAATTAGTCGTAATTACAAAAGTTTAAGCAGGTTGAGGGAAGGTCGTAAGATTATATATTGACTTAATAGTTATATTTTAGATAGATCGATAGAGCTAGTTATTTATACTAATATTATAAAGCTGAAGAGTTTGTTTGTTTGTTTGTTTGAATGCGCTAATCTCAGGAACTACTGGTTCGAATTGATAAATTATTTTTGTGTTGAATAGACCATTAATCGAGGAAGGCTTTCTGCAACTATTAGGAGCGAAGAAATAATGAAAAACGCGGACGAAGTCGCTGGCGGCCTCTACTTTAAAATAAAACTGCATGCTTGCGATATTTCTACCCGAAATAGAAATAAACTACTTCGATATGTCTGAAAGTATGAATTTACCGAGTAGATACCTACATCTTGGATGACCCATAATAAGCCCAGGAAGGAATCTCTAAAATCAAGGCACATCTAGACTATTTGAAAGTTACAGACTGAAAGTGCTATATAATTTTAGTGGCGAGTAGATCTTATAAGATCTACTCGCCACATACATACGACGTACACGTCGTATACGACAGTGACGGATTATCGACCTAGCAAATACTACGGCCCCGCGCGTTTGCGGTCCCCGCGCAATTTAGAGCCTTGGGATGGTCTGACCAATTAATTAATTTTACATGTCGGTAAAATTAAGGTGTTAAAAAAGGAAGAAATAAAATAAGCTACGTTTCTGGCCAAAAACACATACTTTGAAGTATAAACATACATATATCGCCAAATAAAACTCACATCACAGATAGGTTTGTTGTGTTATTCGAAAAATTAACTGCAGACTTCGCTCTGGCTTAATCCAGGGGGCCAATTCTACAAAATAAATTCTGTTTAAATCGAATCGAAAACGCATCGAAAGCGAACGAAACTACAGTTTTTAGAGCTTTTTCTATTTTACTAAGTGACATACGGTACAATTCCAACTAAAATAAAACTGGAATTGTATCGTATGTCACTTTATAGAATAGGAAAACCATTAAAAACTGTAGTTTTGTTCGGTTTCGATCCGTTTTCGATTCGATTTAAACAAAAGTTATTTAGTAGAATTGGCCCCCAGTACTGTAAATGGAACTGCATAGCTCCAAATCCTACTGCGTAGTTTTTATTTTGCTAAATATTGCGCTCACATTGGTATATTGACATTTATCATATACTTAATATATAAATACCTTAAAATTGTTTAGATTATAAGACAAAAAGGTACTCAGTTACTGATACCTAAACATTCGACCTGCCATTAGTTACATTTAATAATCATTACCTAGTTTATTTATGACCGTGATGTCTGCCTTCCAATATTGTGGTTCACTTTACAGTTAAAGATGTAAACTTACTTTTATTGCAGGTAATGAATCAACTTTAATAAATTATCTGCAATAGTGATTTTATTATTATATATGGGGAGAATTTATTACACCAGATCTATAACAAAATGTACAGATTTACTGATAAATGTTTTTATTTAATTCCGTGTAGAATCCTTTAAAAATCGTCTTCATTATATATAGGCTATGCTAAGCTATAGCTTTCACTCCAATCTTTGATTAACAGCAAGCATAATAAGTATGTAGATATTATCTATAATTTGGAGGATTACTCTCACCCAGTGGTCAGAATTAGCACAAAAAATATCATGACGCATTTTATCTCCAAATAAACCTTATTTATACTTATGCCAAATTTCATACTCTATCCGCGAAATTTTCTTAAAAGGAGGTTGGTTTCTTAAAACCTACAAAGAGGTGTTTGCATTCGTAACACTGTAAAAACTTAAAATACAATCGAAGATTAACTACTTTGATACGATTAGTTAAATGGATATTGGTAAGCGCACACGTTAAAATTGTGTGTGAAGAGTATCTCTATTCCTCTTCATATAAGCATAAAAATTTAAAGGTGCCCACTTACCTAAATCTCGTACGTAACCTTTGCCAATTCAAAAAATAACTATAATTAAAAGACAACAAATAAGACAATTTAGTAATGAGCTGGGCGTCATTTTGTCAAAATGTATAAACATATTCAGGTAGCGGAAAGTAATGGAATATGGAAATAATCCCTATTATAGAATATCGAAGTTTCTTTTAAAATTATTCTTTATAGGGGAAGATTTCTACATTTACAATAAGCCTGAATATTCCATCTGTCGAAATTTCTTGACTTCGGTACCTTCCAAAACAAAAAGAAAGTGTATAAAATTTCTATTAAGAAGGTAATTTCAGTATCCCATTTTAGGTACTACTGCATTTTCACCTTCGCGTCAGGTTGAAAACATCTTTTTATCGTCATAGGATACGAAGCAAGGTATTAAACATTTTATGAAAGTTTACAATGCGCTATCTGTTTAACTCGGAATGTGTGTGATGGCATTACTTTTTATCCATGTTGCAATTGAGCCCTTATCTAAGTTGTACTGTACATATAATGTTGCCTCGCCTCGATAACTTAGTTTATCGCAGATCGACATAGCTAATATTTAAAGAATCGTATTTATCTAAAGTATTGTATTGTTACAATGTAATCATTCATAGCCGTTCCAAAGTTCCAAAAAGTATAGTTGAGTCGGTTTAAAAAATATACCTATTGTAAACATTGATTAAAAGTAATTAAACAATCGTAACAATATGCTGCATTTGGTTAGAAAACCAAATATGGACTCAGGGGTGTATTTACATTAGAACCAAAGGGGTCAAAGCTGTGGGCAGCTTTTAGCCTCAGGTTTTGGGGCGGCAAAAGCTCAAAATACGCCACTGTGGACACTTCGATATTTTCCCTTCATATTGATTCAGCTGGAATTTTGATTTTATACAAACTAGCTGTTCCTGCTACTTCGCCGGCGTAAATTAAAGCTTATGGCACCCGCGTATGTTGCACCTTCCCGCATTTTCATGATGGGATCGATATTTTCGAAGATTACCCCCAAAAACTATACAAGCAAAGTTGGAAACTTTGCGTCTTTATATAATTAGTATAGATATGAATTTTTATCCGTATATATGTAATTATCTTGCAATTTATATGTTTTTTTAATATTTATGATTTGAAGCATCACAAACCGTCCTTTTCTGTTTTTATTACCATTATCGGATTGAAAATCTAAAAGGGGAACTTAACGCTTTTTAGATTTGCAGTTTTAATTATATTCTAGAGTAGCGGTAGAATGCTTGCTAAAAAGTTTTCTTTTTACAGGTGGCATGGGCACCCGTCACTTCGTGACATTCATGCTGTTTCTCGGTATGGCGAACGCATACGTCATGAGAACCAATATGTCTGTCGCCATTGTCGCTATGGTGAATCACACGGCGTTACCGGTGGTCAAAGAAGCCACGGACACTGAGTGCGGTGCCGTTTCTAATCAAACTCACGTGAGTACACTTACGGAACATTTAAAAATTATAAAATAACAAGCTTCTCACCTGCGTGGTTTACACGATAATTTGGCAGTAAATTTATTCATAGAGGACCGTTTAAGGGGATAATAAGTAGCCCATATGTTAGTTCAAGTTTAGAATTACCCGTATACCAAATTTCATCAAAATCTATTCAGGAGTTTTTGTGTGAAAGAGTAACAAAGATCCATCATATTAAATGTTCCCATTTTTATATTTTTTTTTATTTATTTACAATGGGCTCACTCTTGACCACAATCTAGCCTAAGGACATAGACGAGATGGTCATAGTCATCTCTATCTCGTTACGCCCTGCCTTGATTTCGTCTCGTTTTCTGTTTTGCCTTTATTCTCAGATTTAAAATCATAAAATTGAAGAAATATGACCTCTTAGAAATATGATACGACATCTTAGCGAAATTATAGCGATATTACGTTTCATTTTCTACAGTGATAATTTTAATAACGACGCACGAATAATAAATAATGACGATTATGGACTTGACCACAGTGTAGCCAATTTAGTAGTTCATCCACCAAAAGACACGTCAAAGTAGTAAAATGAAACGGAACATTATTAAGATGTCATATACTATGGCTTGAGAGTTAGGCGATCACACGCAAATAGCAATTCTGCTAATGTTAGCGTAATTATTGAAAGTCAATAGCGCTTCAACTGCAAACTCATGACATAGTTCTTGTTACTAGATCAGAGCGCTTAGTGTAAGTTTTTTTGACGTTTACGTTCACTGTCGATCGTGAGCGCGTTAAGATTTTAGTATGGAATTCGGTACAGCGCCCCTAGCGGTAACTACCAAGAACTACAAATCTCCATACAAATTCTTAACGCGCTCACTAGTGAACGCGTTAGCGTAAAACTTACACTTACCACTCTGAGCAATGAGTATACCTGTCACCATTGATTTGTGAGGAAGACATTGGTTTGGTTACTAATATTAGACTTCAGGTAGATAATACAATGGCAAATGCAAGTAGTTGAGATTCTACTAAGAAACGATTAGTAATAATCGTAAAGTAGGTACGTAAAATAAGGAGAATTGAGGCCTTGGCCTGGCGTGTTATCAAGTCAAAAAATAGAAAAGTATAAATCTTTCTACTTTGTCACTACGGTATTATATTTTCATCATATCAATATAATACGTACTTGTAACAGTTATTAAATACCATTACAGGCGGATGCTTCACAAGACGGCTCTTTCGTGTGGAGTTCTACTCTGCAGGGCTACATTCTCTCATCTTTTTTCTACGGATACGTCATCACTCAAATTCCCTTTGGGATATTATCAAAAAGGTAATTAGGTGATTAGAAAACGAAAATTTTACCCATTTTAACCGATTTCAAAAAAGGAGGTTCTCAGTTTGACCAGAATGTATGCATGTTTGTCCGCAATTATTTCTGTTTTAGTTTTTAAAGCTCTGAATGAATTATATATAAATTAAAATAACGTAAGGTTTACTGTAACAATAAGAATTAATCTAATTAGTTTGTTTATTTTTTGAAATATTAGCGGCGTTTCTTTCTTTTCTTTTTCAGTTATTAACAGAAGTGCTAAAAGTACCAAATTCATCATCACTATCTTCACCAGCCTTTTAATATCCCAACTGCTGAGGATCAGGCATTCCCTATGGATGAAATCGATTAAATCATATTCGATTGGGCCATAAGCCCAGTGCGCAATGGTAGGTGTTAAAAATTGCACTTATAGCTGGGATCAACGGCTTAACATGCTTTCAAAAGTACGAAGAGGCTCGACCTAATAAATTTTGGTCATCCATCACATGACAGGCAAGTTTCTAAACGACCGTATTGCAGACAAAGCGCGCTAACTACTGCGTCGTCGTGCTTCTATTAAGGTGCCAAATTGCAAAACATCAATACAGATTAAATTATAAGATCGTTTTAAATATGGAAAATGTGTAATTGTGATTAGCGGGTAAAAACTTTTTGCTAACTTCACTAACAATGTGTGTACAGGTATGGCGCCCGTTATTTCTTGGGTGTGGGCATGCTGGTAAACTCGGTGTTCGGTCTGCTGGTGCCGATCGCCGCTGAAGCTGGATTCGAATGGCTCATCCTAGTGCGATTCATACAAGGTCTTGGAGAGGTAAGCCTAAACAAATTTAATCGTGCTTATAAATCCTCTACTGCTACCCAGATGGATCCAAATTTTAAAATATATAATTGTTTTTGATAGGTACAACATGTGTTGCTGGCTTTCGTTAGTGTAAGGCCCCGATAGCTAAAGTTTTAGATGTAATAATACTCGCTAGGGTTGCGGAAAATGTTGGCTTGGATTTCCGCTTTGGGTAATCTTATCAAATAATAATACACTAAATAAATCCAGCCCCTTTTCGCGCTCTTCGAGATGTGTTTGAGTTATCTGACGTCATCTAAAAATTCAATAACGTCTGTCTCGTGTACGTAAATGTTTTTCTCGTTAAAGTTTTCCCTTTATTATTGTATAAGCTCCAGATAGTAAAATTTTGCAAAACTTATTTAAATTCCACAATAGTAGACCAAAAACACTTACCATTGCTCCATTGTACCCCAAAAACGGGTAAAACTATTCATGGGTATTACGCTTTTTTCAGGGTCCCATTGTGCCATGCTCACACGCGATGTTGGCTAAATGGATACCTCCTAATGAGAGGAGTAGGATGGGTGCTGCCGTTTATGCCGGTAAGTGACAACTGAGAGTAGCAATCTCTTAATCTTTCAGTTTAGAATGTACGATATTCCCAAATATCCGATGCTTGCAAAATATTCAATTGTTGAAATGTACAGTTCCTTTAATGTCTATTCAAGGAATGTCCAATAGTCCTATATTGGAGTTTGACACAAATTAAACAAAGTCGCTTTCTCAGTCCCTATATATGCTTAAATCTATTAAACTACGCAACTGATTTTGATACGGTTCTTTTTTCATAGATAGAAGATTCAAAAGGAAGGTTTTTATGTATAATACAAGACCACGCGGGCAAAAGCCGATAGCGGATAGCTAGTATGTAATAAGCTAGACGATTATGTCCTTTTCCAGCTTTTCTAGAAAATATTAAGCATTAAATAATACCGAAATAATAACAACAAATGTAGAATACAACCTCCCGGTATTACAATTTTATTTAGTTTATCCGAATTCAAATCTAAATGTTTCATAAAAATAATTATATAAAAGCTTTACATGGCCCGTACCTATCATGGAAATAGATTGTACATTTCGAGAATTCGCCATTCTGAATTAAAACGTCTATCATCTTTATATCTCAAGACTTCCATCAAGTTTTATTTCTTATATCATCAGACCCTAATATTAACACCTAGATGCACTGCTAGCAAAAATAAGTAGGTACATTTACCAGCTGTATATTTTGCGTTTATATAGTGCAGGAGTACCTGAGGAGTTGTAAGACCTTGTAGCAGTTGCTAAATATCACAGTCACAATTATCGAAGTTTGATTTCCGCGTTAATTTTTAAGTTTATAGGTATTGAAATCTATTTAGAGCTTCTTAAAGATTCGTCAGGTTTCGAGATTCTTTATAAGTATATGCGTGTCAATGTGCCAAGCGTATTTTGCACCAACTAATCCAATATGTTTTATCTATACTGTAATACATAGTGGATTCAATATATATTTAGAATACTTTTGGCCAGATTTAAAAAAAAGCCCAAGCAAGACACTGAACAACGCTTCTTTATAATACGGTTGGGGAAAGTCTTTTCTCGTATAGTATGTAATATTTATCATAAAATCTTTCCATCTCCGTTCCGTAATCTTTAAATCTAAATGAGTGAATCAATAGGAAGGGGTGTAGTTTTTCATCATGATAACGATAGACCTCACGCATCTTTTGCCACTCAGCAAAAATTAAGAGAGTTTGGTTGGGAGGTGTTAATGCATCCGCCATATAGTCCTGACCATGCACCTTCAGATTTCCACTTGTATCGATCTCTTCAGAATTCTTTAGGCACTTGTCGCGGTTTTTTGATCAGAAGACCTAAAATTTTTATAGTAATGTGATCATATCCCTATCTACAAAATGGCAAAAAGTTATCTAACAAAATGGTACCTATATACTTTAGTTTAAATGTAAATTAACTTTATTAAAAATGTTTTGGATTTTCATATAAAATGTGAAGAGATTTTTCCTCAATATTATAAAGTTTAAGATTATTTGGTTGAAGGCGCTAATCTCAGGAGTTACAGGTTCGAATTGGAAAATTATTTTTTTGTTGAATAATCCATTTATTGAAGAAGACTATATAAATAACATTACGCTATGAATAATAGGAGTGGAGCAGCAATGAAAAATGTTGCAAATACGAGAAAACCGCGCGGGCGAAGCTAGTTATACGAATAAAGTTATTTGTCTGCAGGTGCCCAGTTCGGTACGGTGATATCTATGCCACTGTCGGGTCTCCTCTCCGAGTATGGGTTCTCTGGGGGGTGGCCGTCCATCTTCTACGTTTTTGGTCTGATCGGTACCGTGTGGTGTCTCGCCTTCCTGTTCCTGGTGTCCGAGGATCCCGAGCAATGCTCGAGGATCTCGGAGCCGGAGAAAAAGTACATCGTCAGCTCGCTGTGGGGCGCTGCTGGTTCTAGCGTAAGTATCTATAGTCTACTCCTAGACGAACTTGAAAAAACTGATAATGAACACAAGCACCTCTACTCTGTATAGCAAGGGAGTAGGTAAGCCAAACATATAGTCTCCCGCCTCGCAGTTTATCTTCCTTTGCAAGAGTATTATGACAATAACTGTTACTTCAGACATCTCAGTTAACAGACAGTACATTATAATTCAGCGTATTTAAGTTGATATCATAGAAGCTTTTGTCAAGACTGGCAGACTAATTTTTTGACTGACCGTACTACTCGGAATTGATACAGAGGTCAGAGAGTAGGAAGAGCAACGATAAGTAATGTTTTCTTTAAGAGCTCACATAATACTTCGTTTTGGCTTTTTGTTCCATTATTTTAACTTTTTCCTATTTTACAGTCACCACCGATTCCATGGAGTAAGATTCTGCTGTCGATGCCGTTCTGGGCTATAATGTTGGCGCACATGGGACAGAACTATGGCTACGAGACTCTGATGACGGAGTTGCCAACTTTCATGAGACAAGTGCTGCATTTCTCCATCAAGGATGTGAGTATAAACGTGGTATAGAATAACGAAAGAGGTTAGAAATGCGGTAATTAATAATTCACATATTTTGTAAATGCTGAATGGCCTATTAATGACCCCAGGACTCAAGTACAGGCCTCTCTTGTAGATGGAATCGAGTTAAACCGAATAGGGAGAATTTAAAACAAATAGGAGAATGGGCCATTCTCCCTATTTGTTTTAACGGGACCGCCTGCGGATTGGTAACGACTGCGACTGAGGGACCAACGGCTTAACTTGCCTAGCGAAGCACGGAGTAGATAGAATTTTTTGGTCACCCATCCCGTCAAAGTTGCTTGACAACAACGATCGCGGGCCGCGGCGCCTATCCACTACGCCATTGAGCTACCATCACCGGTCTATTGATGCTCTCAATGCTGAAGCACAGGCCTTCCCTATATATGCAATCGAGTCAAACAACATAGGCGACCGAACGGGACCGACGGGTGTTAAAAACTCCACATATAGCATCCTATAACCGGCCTTTGCGAAAATTGCTTACCTTCCGTATCTCTGATCGAACACAACAACCATTGTGGCTTCGAATTCTTATTAATTTACGCGGGCGATGTCAAGAACAGAAGATATAAATCAACCGACAAGTAAAATTTACATAAATGGCGTACAGCCAAATTGCGTCAATGTGTTATTAGACAACGTTAAAAATACTCCATTTTACGTTCTTTTTTTGTGTGTTTATGTATGACGTAAATTGCATACGTCTTGTTAATCCTTTAATTTTTGTCTGCAGTAAAATAAATTATGACAGATTCAGAGCGCAGATTCTCACAATGTATGCTTTTTTAAAATGTCACTCTTAATCAACGCGCTTATATTGTTTTTTAAGTTTTGTTAAGACTCCTCATACAGGGTCACGTATTAGCAAATATTATTTCAAAAACTTCGTGAAAGTTAACCCTTTCGCCGCCCGGGTATGTGACGAGTTCACGTGGGGTCAATTGCCCATTAAATTATTGGCATGAGACTGCGTGTCTCGTTGTGATAGATAGTTGTAATTTGAAATAAATTGGATGCTCCAATTGACGTATAGTTGCCGTTGTTATAAATTGAATTGTCAACTGGTCGGTCTTGATTGTGTTTTTTATTTGATCATGTTCGTTAAGATTGATCTTTATCGCAACTTGACATACATTTTCGTTTTTCCATACTCCCATTGTAAGCGTTTGTACTTTACCAAAAGTTATTTTAACAACAAGTTGTAAATAATTCCCGCATAAAAAGTTACTCCCGTGATAATTTAAGGATATTTGCATACCAAAAGATTTATATCTCCCAAGAAAAAATAAATGATTGTGAAGAATATTTTACTGGTAAATTCGCTGAATTTCATTCTGGATGGCCCTTTAGTTTGACCTTATAGTTTCTATACCAAACCGTTGGGGGTTAACAGACATAATAATAATAAAAAATAGCACAATCTAACTCGTCCATTAGAATCCTGTAACTAATATAAAGTCCCTGATACACCATGGACTGACTGGCACGACACGGCCTGCGATAGATCATGACGAGATGCTGTGTGTTTTCTGACGGAGAGTCTAGAAACTCGCTCGTCATAAAATAAAATTATCGCAATGAAGTTATAAATTATTAAATATTTATCCCATGTGATATCTCCATTGAACAATTTTTAACAATTTGTATTACTATATTTATCGCTATGCATATACTCTTACACAATCAACATCACGTCAGGCTATATAAAATTCTCAAACACCTTTTCATTTTAAACATTATCCAATATAGGTAGCGTTCAAAATAAATTATAAAAATTTAATATATTTTAGCCTGACGTGCAGCTGTGTGAACCTAAGTAGGGTAAAATATATTATTAAACTTTAATATTTCAGAACGGCTTCGTGTCCGCACTGCCTTACCTGTGCATGTGGCTGTTCTCGATGTTCATCTCAGTAGTGGCAGACTGGATGCTGTCCAGCGGCCGACTCAATCATACACAAGTCAGGAAAATCATCAACAGCATCGGTGAGATAGCTTATTCGCAATAGTAATGAATCCATAGTTTGCTAGTAAGAATTAAATAAAGAAATTTTTTGAAGCGCTATTTGCCATCTTGTATCTCTATCATTGCCGGGAGCAATTATGTAGACCTTTTAAGCTCCCTCTTGATGCCTTAATACATAAACTTTTTTGCGAGTATCTACATAATTTAACTAGATAGATAGATCGATAAAAAACTACTTACTATTCAGTTTTTGACGCGCAATTTGCTATCCTTAGTCCCTATTGTCGGACTTAATGAGATCTTTTAGCATCACGGCCTCGTTTTATTCAATTAATCAGTAAGCCGTTAGAATATGTGATAGACGCATTAGGCCAGCGTGGAGGGTCGTGGCCCGTCCTCCTTAACCATCCGTAAGGAAGGCCTGAGCCGTAAAAGGGCTGATGATGATGATGATGATGATGTGTGCAGGTGAGTACGGTCCGGCCATCGGCCTGGTCATAGCGGCCAACACCGGCTGCAACCCCGCCGCCACCGTCGCCGTGCTCGCCATTGGCGTCGGACTCAACGGCGGTATCTACTCCGGATTCAAGGTACGCTACCGTTTTGTGTGACGAAGGGACATTCTTTACTGCATGCCAATGGGCTAGTCATATAGGACATATTATTGAAAACTTCTGTAGCTAGATTGCTTGAAACACCATAGACTAGTCGGTGGAATGAAAGAATTTCGTACGTTGACCTTTGTGAATACTGCTAGATATTGTAAACATTTTAGGGTTAACTTTACTGTGACGAAATTGGCTAGATGCATCTGTGCGAGTGAAATAGCAATACGTTTGTGCACGAGTTAAAAAGATATGTAATGCCAGGTCATTATTAAACAGTACGAAATTTTCTATGTTCAACGACCGAACTATATAGCTTAAATGTAAACAGTTTTTATAAACGTCAAACAGACAAGTGAGCAAAGAGTAAAACAACAGTGAACACAGTAAGAAATCAATATTTTTTTTTAAATTTATAAATAGAAAGAGTGCAATTTTATACATAATATAAGTATCGTTACTACATATTTGGACGTAAGAGGGAGGGGAATCAACCTTTTCTAAGAGACATAATGTCCGAAAAAGTTTGTTTATTAGTAAAAAAACAATTTAGTAAAATGTGCTAGTGCTACGGCAATTTTTGCGTAATATTGCTTACTTTAATTAATATGGCTGACCTATTTAAACCAATTCTTATAGAGATTCGTTATTCGTAAAGGACCGATTTACGAACAGGTTAACTAACACCAGGGGCGTAGCTACCACCGTATCAATGATGGGTCCCTCAATTAATTTTGATATAGGGCCCCTAACTAATTTTGATATAAAGCGCGCTACGCCACTGAGTAACATATGTAAATCATACAATCAAGAGACATGACTTATGTAGACATATCGAGATATAAAACTATTGGCTGTATGTAAACTCTTTACAATTTTTAACGACCTCTCTTTTAACAGGTAGAGTAGGACAGTAGTAATAATAGGATTATAAATGTTAAGTAAAGGTTGTATACGATGAGATGACTGCTGATGACAGTTATAGATAACCCTAACTCAATAGTTAACATTAGCAATTAATCCTATACGTATCGTGCAGGTCAACCATTTGGACTTGTCGCCTCGGTTCGCGGGCATCCTGATGGCCTTCACCAACTGTCTCGCCAACCTGACTGGACTACTCGCGCCCATAGTCGCCGGTTACATCATCGAAGGGAGAGTCAGTATCAACTTCTTGTTCAATATTAGAAAAAAAGGCCATCGGCCATCTTTTATATGTAACAATATAAAAGATGCCCGACCTTAAACTGACTGTCTGATGCCTTATTTCTTTCTATCCACGCGTGTAACAGTATCTACATCATATTTAAGAGTTCATGATAAATAAGGCCCATTATCTAAAAATAAAATATTATTATAAATAAAACATAAATCATTAAGTACTTAATTGGCAAAAGTAAACGAAATCACTAGCCCTTTCACCAAGAGGGCCCAGTGTGAATTGATGGGTGTTAACGACTGTAGATGAAGCCGGGAGCAAGAGCTTCAGGTGCCTTCAGAGCGCTTAGTGCAAGGTTTTTTATTTGCGTTCACCGTCGATTATGAACGCGTTAAGATTTTAGTATAGAATCCGATTCAGCACCGGTAGCGGTAATTACCAAGAAGTAAAAATCCCCATACAAAAGCTTAACGCTCTCACTAGTGAACTCGTTAACGTAAAACTTACACTACCCTCTGACGCACGGAACTAGAGAATAAATTTTTGTTGACCTATCCTATGACCGGCCCTTACGAAAGTTGCTTAACTTCCCTATCGCCGACCAAATGCACAAACTACAGCGCCATCTTCACTGCCCCTCTAGTCAAATCTATGGAGTTCCTGTTGTTAACAACAACAATTTTTACTTGTGATTATTTTTTCAGCCGACCCAAGCGCAGTGGAGGATAGTGTTCTACATAGCCGCCGGAGTATACGTTTTCTGCGCGACATTCTACAACATATTTGGTTCAGGCAAACGGCAGGACTGGGATAATCCTGCTGACGATGAAGCCAATGCGAAAAAGGCCGCCGACAAGAAGGCCATCAAGGAAGAGAGGAAAGCAGCCAAGAATCAGAACCAAGCAGAGACCGCGCAATAACAGAGACCTTGAAAAGTTGTAATAATGCTCCATAGACACAAATTTTTATGGCTCAATGTCTGTGATTCACAGCTATAAAGTAAAAAAACAAAATGATGAAATAAAAGGTGGGAAGTAACAATTCCCGAGATTTTTTTAAAAATATTTGTATCTGTGGTAGCGTTCGACCCCATAACAGTTATTTCATTTGTAATATGAAACTGTACAGTGTGCATCTGAATGTTTATTGCATGAATTATTGTCATTCCATATATAAAATTTTCTAACAATAAAAGAAGTTTATGAAAAATTTATTTATCTAAATCTGTTCTAAATCATTTGACATTTCTTTTTTATTTGACATTTAATGTGCAGTTTTATTTTTTATTTATGTTTTATTGTTTAGTTGAAATGCAAGCGAAGCGCACATCAACAGGGCTGTGATAAAATCTTGTGTGTTACGAACACATTATAATTATAAAACTATTGTGGGGTCAATTTTTTGACGACTTGTTAATGTAAATGTTATTTATTTCATTAGTTATAAATTACCATAAAAGTATTGTTTAATTAGTTTTAATGCTTGAGAGCGTCAGACGCGTAAAAGATTTTTGTAAAGTATTCTCGGGTCCAAATAGTTAAAAAGAAAAAATGTTACCGTCCCAGCCAGTGGCCTATTCAGTAGTCAATTTAGAATCCTCGCATTGTGGGTACTTTATATTTTTATTAAGAGTATAGTGCCATTATCAGCATTTTAATGATCTAGCTATTTGCAGTAACTCGAATACACTTAGTACCTTTTGTTAAAACTTAAAATGTATATGTATATATATAATAAATAATAAAAACATTCTTGCCTGTAACATTCTTAAACAAAAATCAGCTAAGAAAAATTACAAAACCACGGTTATCGCTCTCATTTGTATAAAATAAGGTAAAATAGAAATGTCATGTCTAATTTTATTACATAAACACCAGATTCCATAGTGTCGTAGATCATATATTTTGTAATAGAAAAATCTTCAAAATGAAAAGTGTAGCGAGCAAAAACTATTTGCCATTCGTAAAGCAGGCTAGTTTTTATAACATTTGTAACAATATCAATAAGTCTATGACAAAGTTGCCAAATAAATAGTATTGTGATTTTTTGTGAAAATCAACTGTTGAAATCCTTAATTTTGTTTGTTTGATGTGGATGCTGTCGCAGTTGTTTTAACTACCAAGAGATGGCGCTAGCGTTCTATGAAAATATTAATAACATTTGCGATAATTATTTTAATTTTCGAAATTATTTGTCTAACTTGCTCGATGGTCTGACTTTATGAATCAATTTTTAATTTAACTACATACTGTTTACAAACTAAAACAATAATGCAGTGCCATCTGTAGACAGTGAAAACGAATGAATCGAAAATGTTTCACTTTGAGGCATTTATAATCTTTAGTATATGTGATCAAGTTATTGTGTGCTGCTGTATGCACATTACAGGTAAATTTTAATGACATTTTAAGAGTTATTGCCAATTTATCTGTAGTAGTTATTGGTTTTAGTCTATAGATTTGAGCTTGACTTTAAGATGTCGTTATCATATTCCGTATAAAAACGTATAACGTTCTTTAAAAAATAAAATGTCAGTGACGACGCGTTGAACGCGTCCAGGAAAATGTAAATATCGAATATTTCATTCATTTAACACCCATTTTTGTATGAGCTCTAATAGTAAGACGATAGAGAAATACAAAAACCTTTTTCAAATATTTATGATGGTTTCATTTAAGACACTACCATGAATTTATTCTAATTATTGTCACAATTTACTCTTATATATATATTTACATTTTATTTTATTTATTTATTTAATCTTTATGCCTATAACATAGCAATGGCGGACTTAATGCCAAAAAGGCATTCTCTACCAGTCAAACCGGTGAAGGTGTACAGAGCATTCAAAAGGCGGTTTCATTAAAAGAACAAAGTTACAATTTATAGTTAATACTAGAACTTTGCTTTAAATAGAGCTCCTTTCCCAGACATTATTACATTTTGATTCACCGTTTGTGTAAAATTGACCGTCTTAGAAAAATCTACGCCCGCAGGTAAAATATTTTGTAGCCCTCGCAAAGTGTAAGAAATCTACTATTGTCCTTTTCAGAAGAAACTGTAGTTTTATTAGATATACTGGAAGTTCTTGAAATATTATTATTCTATGCTCAACATTTTTAATGACAAAATGTTTTGTAGTTGATGCCGAAGGTTACCGCTTACATGGCATTAGAACTGGAATCTTTAATTTATTATTCAACTGAATTTTAAAACCAACAGAGTTTTTTAAAATAAATCAACAGGTATAACAAAATATGGTTTATTTAACAAAATAATTACACTTAAGTAATGCTATTCCTATTCTATAAGTTTGCTATAATGTTGTAAACTAAATGCACCTGTACCGCTCCGGCACGGCTGCCCTACCATAAGACAGCTAGAAGCCGAACGTATATTATCTTTCTTTGAATTAATAACAGCATCTTTCAAAAATATCAACGAGGACTCAAACGACATTTGCTGAAGTGGCGATGCCGATGATTCCATACCTTTCCGACTCATTGGTTCGAACACTCCATTGAACGTCATATAATCGGCAACAAGCGACAAATGTCTAGGATCAACCGTAATACCGTATACATTAAATACATTTTGAATTTCCTTTATTATAACTTTATTGGCTGCTTCTATTCCATATGTATTAGCTATAGCGTGAATATCGTTGCTATACAATCTATTCATATCAAGAAGATTGTTATATTTAAACATTTGTAGAATGTTAATGCCTTCAGTTTTTATATAAACGATATCTTTCTCTTTATTAACTATAGCCCTTTTTATGTTTTTCACTTCATGAACGATCGATTTCGCAGCGGCTTCTCTCATTGCCTGTGGTAAATCAACTCTTAAAAACTCAATCGGGAAATTGACAGTTAATTCACACCAAAGATATTTTTTTGTGTCGAATGTGTAATTGGTTGCTTCCTTTAATCTATCAACAACATTGGCCATTACCTTCGTGTCTTCAGATGTTACCTCAGCTTCACCATTATTCACTTCCTGTATTTCGTCGCTGTCTTTGTTTAAGTCTTCTTCAACGATTTCTATTTCGTCTTCAGATTTGTCTTCTTCATCAGACTCTGGGTCTTCGTACTCTTGTTCCTCTGACCTCTTCTTACGGATTTTTGCCTGAAAAATAAATAGCAACACGTATTTCAGAACTATCTCAAACAGTATTGATAATTTTCAATGAAAATTAATATAAATAAGATTTATACTTGTACTTACATCAGTATTGTCATCATCTTCATTAGGTCCTTCATCATCAGAACTTTCGTAGGCATTATCAGCTTGATCTTTTTCTGCTGGGACTTCGTCATCTTCTTCGTCATTGTTTTTAGCACGGTTTTGTTTTTTCTCAGAAGACCAAAGCACACCACAAGTAGCTTTTGCATGTCGGCGAATTACACCAAACATTTCTTCAAAAAACTTTCTCTCCATGTGTTTTATAATTTGCTTAGGTTTTACTACATACTGTGGTTTATATTGTGCATGTGGTAAAAATACAAAACGCATTGTTGTTTTCAATTGCCTATCAGGCTCTGTGACTATTTCACACTGTACATCAATCTTTTCAAGAACATCAGCCACAGTGACTCTATTAAGTTTCTGTCTCAATTTCTCAGCTTTCTTTTGTATGTCTGGAATGTCAGCTCGAAGAGGTATGTCCATGTTTGGCGTTTTAAGCTTTGCTGATGCAGTCATTAAGATTTCTCTAAGACGCGGAATACCAAGAGTGACATTCATATCACCTCGACCAGCAAAATGAAAAGTATTCAGTGTCATCTGTGTAGAAGGTTCACCTATTGATTGTGCAGCTAAGAGTCCCACAGGCTCACCTGGAGCAGCCATTGAGGCGAGATATTTAGCATTCATTACTTCAATAAACTTTTCTTTGTCTGTATTACTATCAAATACACTTTCAGAACGATTTTTTAAATATTGTTGTATAATGTTATCTAATTTTTCACTTATGACACCAAATTTGTATTCTGGAGAATATTTACTAGGCATTGGGTCAGGACAAGCTTTTTTGTTATATTGATTTCTATCATCTTCATCTAGAGATCGCCACATTTTTTCTAGTTCCCAATAATATTGATCTCTGCTTTTGTCTGATGGAGATTTATCAAGAACAATATCATCTTTAGCTTGAGCACTAAATTGAGTAAAGCCGCTAACACGGACTTTTTCAAATGGGTTGCCATATTTCTTTTTCCATTTTTTAAAACTTTTTTGGACTTTAGCAATACTTTTTTCATCAATATTTTCTTTTAATTTCTTTATTGTTGATTTATTTATAACGGCGTTGGAGTTTTTATCCAGAAATGGCAGTTGTTTACTATTTAAATATTGGCATTTTAATACATCGAGACCATCTTCACCATAAGCAAATTGGACAACACTGCCATCTGAGTCTCTTACTGTGTGATCATAAGCAACATTTAAGCTTTCTAAATGTTTTATCAAACATCGCTGCAAGTATCCAGAACGACTGGTTTTGACAGCAGTATCAATAAGACCTTCACGACCAGCCATGCAGTGAAAAAAGAATTCTTGAGGTTGTATACCGGTCATAAAACGCCCATCTATGAAACCACCTGCTCTGGGAGAGATATCATATGGTGGGAAACTTGGCAATGACCGTCCTGATATCATCAAAGGGGGTCTTTTACCTTCCAATTCAATTTGACCAAGTAAACATGAAATCTGCATTGTGTTCACGGTTGACCCCTTAGCTCCAGATTGAACCATCAATTGCAAATTATTGTAAGGGAATTTTTCAAGTAAGCCTTCTGTCAAGCAAACTGTGTTTATGTTATTTGTGTAAGAATCAAGCATGTTTTTGTACTGTCTATCCAAATTGGCCCTAAATTTTGGATCTTTTGTTAACATCTCACCAATAGTTTCATTTATTTGAACGTCTTCTACATCTCCAGGCAGTTCTGTTGCCTTTAGGGCGGCCAATCGTCCAGCCTGACGAACCAGACATACTATTTCATGACGTTTTTTATTGGCTTCTTCAACCACAAGAATGTCTTTGACACCGAGGGTAAATCCAATCCATTCTAAGTAAAATGTAAAAACTTTTGAAAATGAACTTAATAGGGCACTAGAACTGTCACCTCCATATAATTCATACATGCAGTGAACTAAGCCATAAGGAGTTGCACCATAGTGTGTTTTGTCTAACACACCAGACAAAAGCTCTCCTTTTCTAATGATGACTTCAGCTTCTGACATATTGTCTCCATTCAGAAATTTACTACCCCCAGCTTTCCAAGGTCTGGGAGGATATTTCTGCCAAGCCTTTGCGTTAATTTTAGCTTTTCCTTCTAATGATAGATATGGCTTCCCCTTTGGTATACTATTGATTATAATAGTAGACAAGACTTGTTTTCCTGACCACAATCTAACAGGCTTTAAAATAGTTGGTGGAAGGAGTTTAATTTCACCTTTGTGATTTGTTAGTGCTTGGAATACTAATTGTTGATAGTCTGATTTTGTAAAAAATGTTCCTCTTAAAGACATTTTCACTCCAGAAATAACATGATCTTGAATTAATCCACTCAATGGTGTGCCATCTTTTGGCACAAGATATTGTTTTCTGACAGACAAAATGTTATAAGCTTCACTCCTAGCTATTTCATTTTGTGGAAAATGAGCATTCATTTCGTCACCATCAAAATCAGCATTGTAAGATTTACAATTTGCATAATGCAACCTGAGAGTCTTTTCTCCTTTAAGAATTCGTGCTCTATGAGCCATCATACTAGGTTTATGTAAAGATGGTTGACGATTTAATATCAGAATGTCTCCATTAACTAAATGTCTATGTACAACTTTCAAGCCTGAAGGTTTGAAGTTTTCTCCAGGTGTTAATAGCTGTTTAGCAAGACTTTTTCTCTTTTGAATTGTACTAGGTATCATAATAATCCTTCCATTTTCAGTTTCCAATTTTTCAGCGCCTGGATGAACGTCAGGCCCATTGATTACCATTTTTCTCAATTCATCAACATTCCATTCAGTGACTGGCACTGGATATGTGAGTTTCTTTGCAAATGCATCAGGAATACCAATTTCATCAATATCTACATTTGGATCAGGAGTAATAACCGAACGAGCTGCAAAATTTACTCTTTTACCCATCATGTGCATTCTTATTAGGCCTTCTTTTTTTTCTAAGATTTGTTTAATGCCAAGACTAGTTGCTCCTTGACCCTCACAACTTAGAAGACAATTTATGTCTTTCTGTAACTCCTGCCACACAATATGTAGTTTTTCAGATGCAGATTTTCCATTAACAGTTTCGTAACTTCTCCTCGGTTTATTGTCTAGATTGCTTACAGCTTGATCTTCATCAGGAGATGACAGTACTTGTAGAATAACTCGTGCAGAAAAAGCAGTATTAAGAATATTCTTATAAACATTGGTTTGAGGATGCTCCAATAATTCTCCCCGAAGTACATTACATGGTCTCACACAAGGTGGTAGCACAGGTACCACTTTCATAAAGAATATATCGGTGACCGGCTTGACATTAGCATTTTTCAACATAGGTAAACAAGATACAAGCAAGTCTTCATCATTATTAACAATATTTGTACAGATTGTTTTTATTTCATCTGGCATCAAAATTTTTATACCTTTTTCAGATTTGTCTGCACTATAATTTTGCATAAGTTTGCCTTCAGATGTTGTGACTTTGATCAGTTTATTTTGACAATACATACATTTTTTCATAATACTAAGTGCTTTGAAGTAATTATTTAATATTTTTGAACGCACCCTATCAGTATTTTTATTATGAAACACTTCAGTAATAGGATCATGTTTTTTCAGTAACTTCTGGTACTTTTTGATTTGCTTATTAGTTTTACCGGGTGAGCTTTCATTTTCTATTTCTTTAATTTCTGCTAAGTCTAAAGCAGCTGTAACATAGCCTACCTCAATCAACTGTAACTGAAGCTTTAGTAATAACTTTGTGTTATCATCCATTTGTATTTTAAAGCATTTTAAGCAGCTTATACGAAACAATGTGTAGATATTCCTGAGAAACAGTGGATTAACTACAACCAAAGGCAACTCAATATGACCAAAATGACCTGGACAGTGAAGTAACACATTGCTACATGTGGCACAGAGTTCCTGCCTTTCTCTAGTTGGCCCCAATGCAGTATCATACAGCCCTCCTGGGACCGGATTACCCAAAGAATCGAACGATGTGGTACTGGTTATTTTTACGACACTCAACTTTTTAATGTCCTCATCGGTGAACATAAGAAATTGTACAGAGTCAGGGTCTACAGATGGCAATCCCTTGAGACCCGATGCAAAAATTGAATTCATATTCATTTTCGTTTCCTGTAAAAAATAATGTGGAATTTATTTATGTTATCAATTACTAATTATGATTTAACCAATTCGAAACATAACCTTTCCATCATACTATTATTATGTAAATCTTACCAAATCAAGGTTTATTTTTTCTAAAATAATATTTAATAACACTCATAAATAAAAACCATGATAGTCTTTCACAATAACCGTATAAAGCAGAATATAAAATATTAAAATATAGCGCGGTGCGGTGGAAGATTCTGAAAATGAAAATAACAAAGAGTAAAGTAGAAAAATGATTTTTACTTTACTCTTTGACACAGACCACAGAAGGAAAATAAGTTTGAATGGATCGGATGCAATGCAACGATATACCGATATCAAAATGAATAAACATAATCGGTAAAAAAATTACCAATTCATCCAAAAATTTTGATAGCATGGAAGTCTTCTTCTTTCTTCTTCTTTTATTAATGCCTTATCTGCGCGTTTCCCATTTACGTTCTGTGACATTAGAAGAATCATTCATTATTTAATAGAACAATCTCGTTTTCGATCTTAGATTTCGATTAGAATGAGGAAGTGTTTAAAAAAAAGCACTAAAAAAGCACCTCCACTAGATGGCGACTCTAGCAAATGTTGATTTTTGCAGGAAACGTATGGACCAAAGACAGTTATTTCCGTTCCTTTTAACTGACATATTAAAAAACTGAAATTTGAAAAGTTTGAAACTTTGATATATATATAAATATATACAAATACGAAAAAATACAAATAGAATATGAGTTTTTTACTGAGTTTTGTAAACTAATTTACTTTTAAACATGAAAAAAACCGGAAGTGTTGTCTTGGAGAAATCAAGAACGTACCGTAGCGACATCTAATTTATTTTCGGGAACTAATGTTTTTTTTAAATACTTCCTCATTAATTTGTTTAATTTTGGTTTTAACGTTTTAGATCTAAAACTTTGTGTATTTGATCCAAACTGATCACAAATTAAAAGCGGCTGCACGTCAGGTTACCACAATATGTTAAATTCTTAAAGGTGTTCTCAGATTTGTAAGCTTTATCTCCGATTCAGTTACACAAAATTATCAGGCATGCATACTGATATTCTTGAAAAATACAGCTAGCAACATTGATAGACATTTTTTTTTAGTTAGTCAAAATGGCGGCTCTGGGCGAAATTGACGTATGTGAAAGTTGGGAGGATATGGACGAGATAGGTGTAAGTTTTAAATAAATGTATTCAGTACTTTTCTTTTATTTACGCTCGACATCTTGTGTAATGTATTAGACTATTATTACGTTTCAGTTAGATAACAAGATCAAATTGATGTCCAGTGAGTGCGCGCCTGTAAAAAATCTGAAAGGTTGCAAGGTTACTGTTGAGGATAGCGCGTGTATAGGATCTCAGTGCGTGATGCCGGAGCCTGCGATTCGTATTCTAAAGCGTCCTTCATCTTCTGGTAGTGGGCAGATGAACGGTGAAAACCGAGCACGGCCTGTGAAAACGCTTGAACAAAGACAGAAAGAGTATCAAGAGGCCCGTCTCCGGATATTGGGTGAGGCGCGAAGTCCTGAAGACGTTATTGACGATAAGTAAGCTATGAATCCAATATTTACATTACTATATCAAATGCATGTTTACATAACCAAAAAGAACCCTGTTATTCTTATTTTTCAGTTTAAATACTTGGTTCTCAGATTATTGTTTTCTTTATATTTTCTATTGATTTTGAAATGTTATCTTTATATTTACATATTGTCCCAAATGAGTTTTAATTCACCAATGTGTAATGATAGCATTTTGAGTATTTCAAATTTATTCATTAATTTAAGAAGAACCAATGCAACATAGACTACAATCATAGGACTTACAACATAGGTATACACACAATGGAACTGATTTAATTAAAGATTGTTATGATATGTGTAGAAAACTAAATAAATATTTAAATGATGTTCAGATCAGTATCACTATGTTTTATACTATATAAAACATTGTCGCTTTGTGTCTGTACCTGTGTATGCTTAGTTTCTTAGATCTATGTAATGAATTTTGATGTAGTTTTTTTTTTTTTATAAATAGAGTGATTCAAAAGTAATGTTTTTGTACAATGTGTATCAGAAATAATGCCAATCTTTATACATACCAATTAGAAAATGCATTTAAAATCATGAAACGAAAATTGGTATTTTACTTTAATGTACTATAACTGTGTAGCTCGGTGGTGTGGTGGATAAGCGCCGCGCCCCTCGATCTTTGTTGTTAAGCAACTTTCGCAAGGGTCAGTCACAGGATGAGTGACCAAAAAATTATTATTTCTAGCTACTCCGTGCTTCGGAAGGCACGTTAAGCTGTTGGTCCCGGCTGCATTTGCAGTCATTAATATCCTCCAATCTGCATTGGGCCAGAGTGGAGGGTTATGGCCCATCCTCCCTTACCATCCATAAAGAAGGCCTGAGCCCCTGCAGTGGGGTCGTAAAAGGGCTGATGATGATGATGATGTACTATAACATTGTTTATGTATGGACACAGTTATACTAATTGTTGAGTAACAGTGTTGACATCTTACAAAATCACATCAAAACTATGGCTTAGCTTGCAACTACAAATGTATGTACCACAATGATACCACCTATACCTATCGAGAAAAATTCAACACATAAAATATTATTCTGTTTCGAGATTCAGTGTTTTTAAGTATAGACAATAATTATGATTCTTACTTGTTATAAGTATCAGCTAGCATAGTCTTGCGATCACATGTCACACGGCAAGCACAATATAACCACATTGTGCCTTACTCTTAAGCATTTCAATGTATTTTCTGTATGTTAATATAATGAAGAATCATCACATGTGAAATTGAAAATTCAATAAACTGAAATTGTGATAAAATAATCATCCACTTCTGTCATGTTTGTTTTCTCATTGTTTATGAATTATTTTATTCTTTGGATTATGAAGTAGCATTTTAGAGCATCTTATACTCAAGGCATATTGAATGAAAGCTCTTTTTTATTCCTATGTTGTATTATATCACAAGCTAAGCCTATATTGCATTTAAATAAGCCTGTATTAAAATGCAGTATAGTCTTAGCTTGTGATATAATACAACATAGGTAATAAAATATAAGTAATATAAATTATGGTCACCTGTAATGGTTACAGGTGACTGTAATTTATTTGATTCTAATTAAATTTAGAAAAAATACCTATCTTTGAAGTTCTTGAAATCAAAATCAGTATCTGATTTTAAACAAACTACTTTCAGGATTTGCATTAATTGTGTTACACATTGTATAAGAAAATCACCTTATGCAACCATGCAGTTAAAACAAATGCTTTCAGCATTCAATAACTAAAATAAAGAGTTAATAAAAGTACTCTTTTCTTTACAGCTTGAGCCATTTGCAAGATAAACTACAAGCAAACAATCTCAATGACAATCAAAATCAGAATTGTGGTAAGATTAAAAACTGTCACAATGAAAACAATACCAAAGGGAAAGAACGTAAAGTTTTGTCACGGCTACCGCCGGGTGCTACTGTAACTGGAATTTTTCCATCCCCTCCGCCCAGAGGTGTTTTAGTGATACGTACCCCTAGAGGTCCAGACGGTACAAAAGGATTTGTGAGAAGGTAGCATTGTTAAAGTGTCACAACTATCATGTTTAAATTAGTTCCATCCAAGCGACTTTCCCACTGTAAATATTAAATTCAAGTGGATTGTTGCTACAACATGTCTAATGTGTTATTATAACTAATACAATTTGTAATTTATCTACAGTTTCGTCATCAAATCATTGATTACAATTAGTAATTTATCAATATAACTAGCATAATCAATACATAAATGAGTACTATGTATGATTTAGAAACATATAATGAATGCATATGCAATAATAGTATTTCAAATTTTAAGAAACGTAACGAATTTTAAAATGACAATACTAAACATATGCATATCCCAATGCGGTAAGCGTGATCATGTAATTTGAGGTGGTCATTCCAATAATCACGCTGTTTATATTGTTATTACTGATTCTTTAAAAAAATACAAATACTATACCACATTGTTATTAAAAATGATCACCGAGATGAATGTCTTAAAGTAAATTACAAGTTGTTTAGGCAATGCTGTAAAACTACAAGAGTGCTCACTTCAGGGAACAATCCTCTTTGTGATAGATTTTACAAACTGAAATTTCTGTCTTTGAAGATATTTAAGTGATTTCTTATGAACTGACTACTCAAAACATGGCTCTATGTAGCAGTCCCCTGTGCAGACTATTTGCGGGATGCAATACATTTCTCAGAATGTATATTATAGAATTTTCCTTTTGCTAAATAGTTTTTATAAAACTTCTATAATATATTTATTAAAACAGCATTGATTATTATTATATTTCATCAATTCTGCATTCACAATGCTATACTGGAAAATATTATTTATGTCTTATTATGTCAATGTAGGCATTTGGACAAAATGCATAATACTTGGTTGTTCTATAGTTTGTTTTTTCTACTAATAAATATATAAGTACATGTTTAAAAAATAGTGTATTGTTCATATTTTGTGAACTCAACAAATTTGCATCCAGAAGATATTTTGTGCAGCGGAGCAGTAGCTCAGATGAGTCAACACGTTAATTGTATGTACATGAGATTTTTAATAAAATAATTAAAGATCAAACATGCAAAACAAAATTCTATGTTATAATTAAATATTTATGTATGAAGTCCATGACACTTCAGATAATTCTAAAACTTCACATATGGTTTTAGTTTGTTGAAAATTGTATTTAGAAAATAGGATTTTGACATTATAGTATGAAGTGTTGCTTAATTATTTTGCAACATAAATTATATTATGTACATACAATTGATTTTCATGAAATTTTTAACGTAAACGTTTTTTATATCCAGTTTTTCTACATTGTAAAGTATATCTTTAGGTTAAGGTACTTGCTAATTGTATATTTTTAATTATTTTACTATTAAGGTTTTTTAATGTTCTTAATTATATTTGCCACCACAGCTATAAGAATGCTTTTGTAATTATTTCTTTTTACAATAAAAGACGTTATTCTCTAATAGTGAGGCATAGGGTAGTCTTCTCTTAGAAAACATGGTGTAATAGCCATTAATAGACTGACAGGAAAATCACGAAAGACACTTTAGATGTGGTCTCTAATTGATATGTTTAAAGAAAGATAGAAAAGCATTTGGATTTTCTATCTTTTTTTTTTATCGTTCTATGCAAATATAATTAATGAGTATGGTAAACTGTCATTGGAACATTTTGTAAGTGACAGACAGTGTTGTATGAATGACATTATTATTTCGACTACAATGTCAATATAACGGCTATGTGAAGTTTTGATATTATAATACTAGTCCTAGTTTGTTTCTTATATTTTCTCTGAGAATATCTGTTGATATTTTTTTTTTGTAGGTGTTTGATGTGACAAGATTGTGTTATTTTTTATAATTTATAAATTATAAAATACTCGTGTTCGGGCATATGACATCACTACAAAATTTACAGATTTTTAAATCGACTTTAACTAATTCGACATGTAAATGCATTTTAACAATGTAATCCAGTATTTGCTTACATTAGTATCTATAGTAGAGAAATGATAATTATTTGAATTAATATAATTATTAAGAACTGTCTGTAGCTAGAATTGGCTATGATAGTTTTTACTTCACATAAATTCTCGTCTATTGGTTAAAAGTATTTGCTTAAATTATTACAGTGAAATCTCGATAACGAATGTCAAGGGAAATGCCAAAAATTTTCGACATAACAAGAATTTCAAGATAAAATGATTTCTAAAATTTACAACAACTACTAAATCGACAATCGAATGCGCAGTAGCACAATTTTCGATTCAGTCGATAGTTTTTAGCAACAATAGCCCATCGCTACCCCGACCATTCCTTTTGGATTTTATTGCCATGAGTTCGGGGAATAATATTTTGTTCGAGTTATATAGTCTAAATAATTCGATATACTGCGGATTTGGGAGTTCAGCGGAAGGGAATAAAAGTTATTTTCGACTTACTGAGGATTACGACTTAACGAGGTTCGAGTTATAGAGGTTCCACTGTACTTATATTTAAGTAATTACTTCTAATCTACTATAGATAATTGTTGGTCTCGCCTGCTTGAACAGAGTAGCGAAGCTTAGACATTAGTTTACTGAGTGTTCGATGTTTTTTTATTGTTTGGGTACGTTTGTTAGGTCTCCAGAATATACATAACAAATATAATTCACATATTTAAACTTAAGGGCCTGTGTACATCATGCTTTTATTAATGCCATGCTGACCCGTGCAAACTGCGTCACAGCGCGTTTAAAATACGTGTTGTGTGCAGGCTCTAATATTTAGTTTTGACGCCAAAGTCTTGTTTAATAATCGGTTTTGTTTAACATATCGGTAATATTAACATTGTACATCGAAATAATCGTTCTGGTCGTATGAAACCAATAAATCTAGGCTAAGTTAACATAATGAAACTGCAACGGATGTATACGGTAAAGTAGCTTATACGTCAACAAATAGATATTCTGTGAACCAGCAATTGTTCCTATTTACAATTTGTATAACTTTACAGGGTAATGAGAAGACCCTTACAATGGCACTAACTACAGCCGAGTGGTACTGTATTATGCATTATCTATAAGGTAATTTCGCCTAATAAGGCCCACTTGTTATGACAGCTGGGATGTAAAATAGCGAACAAGAATACGTTTCAATTACAGTCCTGCATCGACTGACCATAAAAGGTAGAGGCAGGTTACAAAACGTTCGTCAAGGTTGAGGTTTTTGCACTCCAGTGGTAAAAAACATTGGGCCTTATTAGGTGACATTACCTTATAAGAAAATTCCATATAAACGTAACCTATAAATTATATTTCACTCCCTTAGGGGTCGAATTTATTTAAATCCTTTCTTAGCGCTCACTTACATCAAGAAAGGAACCCCTGTACCAAATTTCAAGTTTCCACGTACACTAGTTTCGGCTGGGCGTAGATATATAAGTAGGTCGGGTTTTCCTTTTAAAATGGTGGTTTGGTTAATTTTTTATACTTGAATAATGATAAAAATATATGATTCTCTTTAAATTCGGCATATATGGGAATGTATTGATATTTAAATATATACAATAAACTGTGTAGAACTGTCTGCCAGTTCACAAATTATATGCAAAATTGAACTTTAATGCATTGAATCAAGAATACATGTGAACAATTGAACGGTTATAGGACCTACTCAAATTAATGATGTATCAGTGTGATATATATAAAATTTGCATTTTAGTGCATCGTTTTTTATAAAAATGGAGATGTACAATATAAGGGCCGACTCATATCAATGACCATAGTCAATAATGTTAACTTGCATTTAGGTAAATAGTTGAGTAGTAAAAAGAAACAGAATTTAGACAAATCTTTGGTCACCAAAAGCTTTTAATTTTCCAAAATTCCTTAACATATTTTCTGAAAGTATTGTTGAATACTATTAATTTGTTATTTTCAAAATAGACCATCGTTTAAGAGCGAACTACAAACATATTAAATAATAACATTCTTGCATACTTTTTGTCAGTCAATAAGGTTATTGACATGGCAATAAACAAGAAAATATTTTCTCTAACTTTTACCGTCTTATTATAAAACGATGTCTAACTTTAGTACCATATTTAAATCATTAACCGGCCAAAATTAGTTGACATGTCTCAATTTGAAGTTTCCTCATCTGTCATTGTCAATTTGCTTTAGCACACTGGTTTAACAGCCAGTTGCACAAACGTCCATTAAAATTTTCATTACTTTAATGCGACATTACCCATACAAATATGACATTCATTAGAGTTATAAAACGTCATTAAACCTTAATGAACGTTTGTGCAACTGGCTGTAAGTCAAGTACTATCTTTAGTCTCAGTTTTGTAAAACGACGGTTAATTTTTAATAAGGTACAATCGCGGTGTAAAGTATTTAATTTAGAGATTAGTCATTAACGACATTCTACTTTATATATACATGAAAAAATTTTAAGCTTTAAAACTGGCTGTAAAATTAAAATTAGCGAAAGCCACCTTTCGCAAGGAGTTCTTGCGACTTTACCGTACATATCTTCTGTGGTAACCAGAGGATTGTGATATAGAATAATCGTCTTATTGCAAGCCTTACCCATCTATGAAGTGTTAAAATAGTATAATAGAGAATACTTCAATTCCTGTTGGTAGTGTTTTTACTATGACATTTTTTATACACAGCATGGGATAGTTTAGAGATTTGCCTTTACATTTATGTAAATAATAATTGTCATGTTTGTTTGAGCGCTTAAAATATGTCGGGTCTAAGTTGAAGAGAACACGTATCGCATTAGGAATTGGCCCTATTTATTTATTAAAAACTTATCTATTACTGATTTCTTTGTTGTTAACTTGCCTATACTATAAGGTATCTAACGTGATAATCAATGGCCGTTGCACAAACGTCCATTAAAACTCTCATTAGTTTAACGTTATGCCGCGTTACAAATACAAATCTTCAAAATTTGAACATTTATTAGTGCTTAAAATCGTCATTACACCTTAATGGAAGTTTGTGCAACTCACCGAGAGATAAAAAAATAAATCCGTAGATCTAAAGCATGTCTCTAGAATTGTTAAACACAATTTCGAGGATTTTTTTCCATCACCGCCATCTAGGGATGTATCTTTAGTTATGTATATTTATTTGATTCGGACTATTCATAAGGTTATAGGGTCTCAACAAAATTGTGGATTGTGATTGACGAAACAAACCAATTGTTACTTTGTAAATTATAATTATTAAGTTTATGTAGGTATCATGCAGGTGCATAATACATTAAGAACGCTAGCGAACTTATTATATATGTATGTATACACATTTTGTAAATAAATCTGTTCATAGTTTTTTATGAGCAAATTTTTAGTGCCAATTAACATATTTATTGCTTGTACTAGTTGTGCTTGGCTTTGTTTTCCGACACTAATATTTCAAACTCATGAAAAGATATTATTCCAAAGATATATCATTGTTTACAAGAAGATAATATGGCGTTGTTTCTGCTAATGTTAAAGGAACTTGGTCTGTGCAGAATAGCCTACAAATTCAGACGATTAGCGAAATAATGATTAAAATGAATCTTATTTTAATAATCGTAAGGTGTAAAATATAACTCATAACCCCGTCTCACTCGCACTCAGCGGAGGTCAGGCGTGCGGCTCTCGTAGGCGCGCAATTTCAATTATACTGATTGGTCGACATTTGCTGCGCATCAAAAAGCTTTCTGCGCAAGTACAGTCAGCGTCATTATCATCGAAGCGTCCAAGGTGATCAAAATATTTATAGTATCTTCAGAAGTTAACTTATATTTAGGCAAACAAAGTTGGATTTGATCACGCAGTGATCAAAATATATGTATTTGCTCCCTTAGACTCGAATCGAGTGAAATCAATTCGAGACGAGTTGTTAGTAGAGAAATTTAAAGAAATGATAATGAAATAAAGATATATTTTTCACTTTTCGTAGGTACTTAGATCAATGTGCAACTGATTTCCTAGATAATATGGAACTTTTGTACTTGACCTTTTTGTTCACTATATATCGGTGAGCCATATTAGCTGAGTCTTGTTGCAAAAATGGCATCCAAACGATGGCGTCTTGATAAATGAATGGCGACACGTATTCTTGTTACATTATGATCCAGTTTTATGTTAACGTTAGCAGAACTGAGGCTCAGAATTCTTAGTACTCTGGTTGATTCACATCAAGTCCTATTTTACATACACCAGTGCCTTTGATAGAGTTTACCTCAAATGCCGCTGAAGCATACACTGAACATTGAATCTTTTATTGAATGAAAACAATGAAAATTGAATCTTATGTTGAATGAAAACAATGAAAATTGAAACTCATCAAAAGAAATGGGATAATTTAGACAGTTGTAACGATGTCGATATGCTAATAAGATTTTTCAAGCACGTTTTAATTGCAGTGTGCCAAATGGTTGTCTTATAATGAACGACTGATAAATGTTTGTATGAACCTGTATTTCGTTATTAGTTATCATAATTTTGTATCAAACTTGTTCGCTATCCATTTTAGCATCGTGCAAATAATTTTCATGTCTTGTAAGCGTTTTGAACCATTGAAATGGCCTTAAAAGAATCTAGAGTTAAGGTATTTTGTAAGAAATAGGTATTTTTAGTTTTTAAATTCATATTTTAACCGAAAACACTATTAAAATGTTGAAAATATCATTCCAGTTTTATTTATCATGTGAAGTTGAAGTTCTGTGTACAGTAGACAGCGTGTAAGGTGACTACGAAAAGAAAGCAAATCAAGTATAGGCCTTATTTTGTGGGTATATAAATTCAAATCGATTTGCAGAGCTTTTTGTAATATTGATTATTACGAAAGGCTCTGCAAATCAATGTTTATTTTAATCGTTTTTAAGGCATATCCATATATCTTAATTTTAAAAATACCTGATTTAAACTAATTGGTAAAGCTATCGTTAATAGTATTTTTTGATAAAGTCGAAAAAACCAATGAAATGCGGTAAAGAAATAAAATACATTTATTGACCACTCACAGGGAGATACAATAATAATATCCTTAATTTAAATTATTTTGAAGGAAACGGAATTCGTTCTTCATAAGTGATTATGTTCACAACAGACGTATTAGTTGACGTTACATATTATTATATTAAAATAAGACTGACTGTCCATCTATCTACACTTAAACGTTTTCGTGGTAATATATTCCTCTGGCTAAAGTAGCTACCTCTTCATAAAAATCACCATTTTCTCCCTTTCTGAAATATTTATCTTTGGTGATCTGTCACAGTCAAACTAGGGCATTTTTACAAAATTAAGATAAAAAAATTCAGAAGACGACGGAAGCGTCTAGATTAAAAATCCAGAAAGCCAAATATGCAAAACCTATTCTGATCAGAAATCTCAGTTTCGGAGACAGAACACAGTGTTCTGTGGTTTCGGATATGTAATATAAAACAAGTAACCCTCGACGTTTTTATTTCTTGAATACTTTTGTCTCAGATTGTACCAAATTAATACATATCCTCTATTTTGTAACATTTATTATTAATAGTCAAATACATTTTTATATTAGATTTTATCTAGAGATTGTCGCTTTGATAATTATTGAATGACATTCTAATAATCATTGGACCGGTTTAGAATTACGTTGGAATTAATGCCGATATCGAGAAAACAAGTTTTACTCACATACAAACATTCTTGATTGAGCTTCCTTACGAGCTTGACACTTGAGACAAACTTAAAACTATGGCTGCTTTGGAACATTTAAGCGAAAGGGATAAAGCTGTTTTGAGAAGTATATTCGATCCTACTGCGACAATTGGTGATGTTGTAGATGATGGTGATACTTTTGAGGAGGAATTAGATGGTGAGTAGAGACATGGTTATTTAATGTTAATAATATTGTTAATATATATTTCATAATCATTGGGAGTCTTCATTATTTCAAAGCCTACAAAAATATAAGACTAGTAATTAGTATGGAATTTGATTGCCGATGAATTTAATGAATTAGTTTACTTGGTCTATTCTTATTTTTTTTTAAATGTGTCTATGAATGAAAAAAATATTATTTATTGTACAAACACCATGAAACAAAGGACATAGTACGAATCAAACAAAAGTATAGTACAATTGGCGGTCTTATCGATAAAATTTTCTTCCAGGCAACCGTTACGATCTGATTACTTAGATAACTTTCATTTGGCTTATAATTATTTTTATTAAGTATTGTTTATTATGTTTAGGTTTTAACATCTAGCGAAATATGACATCCATTCTTTAAATTTTGGAAAAATATTACAGAATAGGGATATAATTTTACAAATTTTAAAGTAAACCTATGAAGTCTCCAGTTTTCATTAAATTTAATATTGTTACGGTACCCTCGGTGTTTATGTTCTTAAAACATATTCCTAAATGATTAGATCCTATATGTAAATATTAAATTATTACATCCTATGTCACTCGCATATGATATAACTATATATATATAACTCCAGTAGGTCAAAGAATTTTTAAAATAGGTCAAGCAGTTTCGGAGCCTATTAAATGCAAACAAATCTTTCCTCTTTAAATGTTAGCACTTATTTGACATACATGAATCATAAAATATTGAAAAATGTATTGATTGCTTATGATTTTTTCTTTATTCGTATCAGTGACGTTTTAAATTCTAGAGACCACAGACTTAGACAAGCAGGCGTCTGCCCTGTGCTCTCAAGGAGTTCGTCTCGCTGAAACGGGGAAACAGGAAGAGGCATTAGTACTTCTCAGTCAAGGCATAGAGTTGGCACCGGGCCGCCCCGCCGCTTACAATGACCGAGCGCAACTACTGCGCTTAATGCAGAGAGATGACGGTAGGTAACATAAAAAACCCGGCCAAGAGTGACTCGCACTTGCGCCATGTACGTGCTGCACCAATATTAATTAAAAAAATAACAATTTTGACCCAACATAATACTATATTTATGTGTCGCGTGCCAAAATCACGAGATTCCAATTTACTACACTACACTATTGTGTGAATGATCTCGAGGAACGAGAAGTACCTATTTTTGGAATGTACGAAAGTAATCACTGCGCAGAAATTAAAAAGGCGGGCAGTAGATATCTTCATAATCATTAGTCCTTTTACGTTCCTACTGCAGGGGCTCAGGCCCGCTTTATGGATGGTTAAGGAGGATGGGTCGAAACCCTCCACGCTGGAGGATTGGTGAGAATTAACGACAACTTAACGTGTCTTCCAAAGCACCGAGTTGTTTGAAATAGTATTTTTTTTTTGGTTATCCAACCCGTGACCGGCCCTTACGAGCATTGTTTAACAACAACGATCGCTGGCCGCGGTGCTTATCCACTACGCCACGCAGTTATTGTTTATACATTACAATGTTTTAATAACCAATACACACCCATCCAATTGATTTTATTTTATCGCCGGGTACAGCTATGCTATTCTATTTAAAAACAGCCACCTCGTCAATGAAATAAAACCTTCATCAACTTTTGAAGTAGGTTTTATTTTATTGGACCTTCATGCTATGATCGCGAGGCTAATTTCAAAGATTAGCACTGAGTAATAATATTTCAGAAGCAATAGCCGACTTGGATATGGCATTAAAACTGACTGCTGGCAAAAAGTGTAGAGCTCGCGCCCTAGCGTTGTGCCAGCGCGGCGTGTTGCTGCGCAAGCGCGGGGCGGACGACGACGCGCGACTCGTGTTCACTGAGGCCGCGCAACTGGGCAGCGGCTTCGCAAAGAAACAGGTCAACTTCGTTTTGCCCTGCTATTCTGCAAAAATCCAGACCCGAATTTGAATTCACTCATGTGTTCGAATTCATGTCATTTAGTGTAGAAATATAAATACTGATTCCATTTTTTTTGTATAAAAGTAAAAAACAAAATTGGTTGAATATACATGCCTCAGATATTCTATTTCTATGTTATTTCGAAACTCATTTCACTTATGCCACGAAACGTTATTACCAATTCAAGATTGAGCGGATGTTGCTATTTGAAGTGACTCGGACACCTGAATGAATTCGAATTCGGGTTTGGATTTTTGCAGAATCGCAGGGCCGATATTTTTTTTTATGGAAAACGGCGCGCAGGCAAGTCTCCCACTCTCTGCGACTCGAACCCTATTACTACTAGAGTCACTCGACTGAAGTTGACAAACTCGTACTCAAGTTACATAAATATTAATCGTGTCTCAAGGCACTCGAGTTACCAAATAGAGCGTATTGAGTTGATTTTATTATCACTAGAGGTCACATAGCTACCCCATACCCCATAGGTCACATAGGTACCTAATAATCATCTTCTTTGCTCTTTGACAGGTTGTGGAATTAAACCCGTATGCGGCCCTGTGCAACAAAATGTTAAGTCAAGTGATGCGAGGAGAGAAAGACATCAAGTTGTGATTATGCAGTTCTTAAGAACGTCAAGTACCTTATTAAAGTAATGTAGTTGTAATACAACACAATGGATTTTGTGATATTCAGGTATTAAAACGGTAAACAGAGTAGCGATACTGCTAACTTTCATATAAACAATAGATAACATGCATCGGACTGATTTATAGATCATAATAACATAATAAATATATGTGTTTTGTTATATAAAATCTAGTTATTTGATATGCGTTTCCTTTTAAAATAAATTGTATGTGTGGGATGTTTTGATCTTGATATTTAAATTGCCCATGTTTCACCAATTATATTTTACCTTTTATTAGGTTCATTTAAATTCGACTGCATGGAATAGTTATTACTACAAAATTTTATTTCTTACACTTTCCCGCACTCATTAAATGATGTCCTAAATAATATTTGAAAAATGTTGAACCATTCAAAGGTACCGTCAAGGGCAAATTGAATAAATAATATTTTTATTTGTTAATATTTAGTATTAAATATAGGAGCTTGTACTACAAAAAATTAAAGAGTGCCCACTAAGATTTGATCAATATCGATATTGAATTCGCATTCCACAATTTCCGTACACCGCAGCATATAAAAAGATGAAATTTCAGCAATACTATTGAATGAAACCTTATCAATTCTAAACAATCTTTATAATCATTGAGAAAGTATGAAAAAAAAACATTAGTTCCTGAAATCAAAGTAGATGTCGCTACGGTACGTTCTTGATTTTTCCATGACAACCCTTCCGGTTTTCTTTCATGTTTAAAAGTAAATTAGTTTTCAAATCTAAACAAACAACTCATATTCAATTGTACTTTTTCATATTTGTGTTGATATCTAAGTTTCGAACTTTTCAAATTTCAGTTCTTTAATATGTTAGTTAAAAGGACCACAAATGACTCCATTCGTTTCCTGCAAAAATTAATTTTTGCTAGAGTCGCCATCTAGTGGAGGTATTTTTTTGTGCTTTCGTTTTTTTTTAAATACTTCCTCATTGGAGAAAATTCTTTTTATTTAGTAGATACGCGATAAAGTTTAGAATTAAGTGGAGAACTTTAATACATTTATATAGCCCGATTTGTCGTTGCGGTTAATGAAAGAAAATGAAACAAAATCTAATGAATTAGAATTTTATATTGTTGAGTACAATCGAAATTCACATATGGAGAAACGGTGCGTCCAGACATTCGCTCCAATATGTGAGCACAATGTTCTATTACAATACACCATCCAAAATCGAAAATATCAACTTTACACTTTTGAAAAAATTACGAATGTATGATTAAAACTACAAATCGAAATACTGCACTACTAATATATATATCGAATAATAGAAATACTCAATAAATTCTCATAAGATTATGTGCAGAAATTTCCATACATTTAAAATAGCTTTGGCTGAAAAATTCCACGCACAATCGTTGGTTGAATGTTAAAAATTTATTAACTATACTAAAGTGATGAATGTACCGATGAATTTTGCCACCGTTTAAATTAGATTTTATGTTTCTATAATAATTCAAATGTAAACCTTATGCTATTGAGACAAGAGCTAATATATTACGATATTAATCGATTACTACAATCGAACGAGAAAAAGTGCTTTATCATTACCATATATTTCTGACTTTCCTGTGCTTTATTGAAATAGAATAAGATTTATATTTGGATATCATTAAACTGTTCAAGCATTAATATACTTTATGGCATTAATTCCTTATTAAGATTCTTTAGACCGAAAGTCACAAAAGTCACCTGTACATTCCAGTTATAAGAGACAATAATGTGATCGAAAGTGCACTTTGAATAAAACAATCTACCCGAAAAAGTTTCTAGTTACAAAAGTTTTCATATAAAAAGTGTAGTATCATTTGGCACATTCATAATCTTTCGCAGTATTAATGAGTAAATGACTAAATAAAAACATAAAGCGAAAAATAATCACAACACTGTAAAAATATTTGTTTTAGTGAAACAAGTGTTTTGGTATAAACGATCACTAGAAGCTCTTCCGAGTAGTTCTTGACAATTATTTATCACAGAGCAAGTTGCAATGTGGACACAGCAATAAAATTCATACTATCCAATGACTTTCTGATAGACAAATGTTATTCCTTTTACCTTTTTAAAAAAAAAAAAAAAACACTCGATAAATCTATTTGTTAACCGGCTTCGGATCGCATCAACGATTTTCTAACCGGTCGAGTACTCTTCTACTACACTAGCAGAAAATGTAACAACACGAGAAATCCGAGTTCATCAATGGTTCAATCAAATCATTGGCTCGCTTAGCGAGATAGTTATTTTTTTCAAGTATTTTTTTGAAGGTAAAATGTCACGTTAGATAAAGATAAATCCCAAATATGTATCAAAAGTTGTTGACATTTCACATGCAAGATTATATCAATCCGATATTATTATTTCAATGGAGTCTTAATGAATCGATAATTGTAATTTTGAGATCTAATACAGAGAACTCGTGTTTAGAAAAAATTTAATCGAAACGCCATTGAGAAAATTTGAATTGAATAGTGTTTCGGTTTCGTGTAACAGAAAGCCATTGATACTACCGCTTATTATGTAACACCGAAGTCCAACAGAATATGTAGTGAAGTTTTGGAAAAAGTAGGTCGCTTTATTGATTTGTTTATGGCATCGTTTTTATGAACAAGGAGTTTTACAACTAAAGAGGAATATATTTAAAATTATGGGATACAATGCAACCAATATTAGTTTAAGCCAAGGTTTCTCAAATCTGAAGTACACGAGTCCATAGAGAATATAGAGAGTTTATGGCAGGGGTCAACAACATTTTTTCGTCAAGCAAATTATCATTCTAAGATTATTATTGACATCAGAAATAGTCGATAAACTATTAACGTTCCTAAACTATTGTTTTTTGAGTATATTTGTGTGTAAATAAATATAATATTGTAAAATAGAAATTCTTAGCAAGTGTATGTCAAAAGTAAAATAAGTGAATTAATGATAATAATTACGTTGTATGTTTGAGAAACCTCGGTACAAGCGACGCTTAAAAGTGATTGTAATTGGTGCAACACTGATCCTTTTATGCGCATTTACCTACCTTCCATTGATATAATGAGTCTTTGTTAGTGATTTTTTTTTTATTCATATGAGTATTTGTTAAAAAGGGGAGTATTCTGTATACAATGATCGAATATCTAAATACATGATAATATTGTTACGAGTAGAAAATGCGCAATAAGTTACATTAAAGTTTAATTTAATAGGTAAATAGAAAATCATCTTGGTGTTGTGACTTACAGTTCTGAGACATTCGCAGATAGACAGTATTTAATAATATTAGACTTATTAATACACATGTAGGTTGAAATATTTAACATTAGGTAAAGGAAAAGCAAAGTGCTAAATTTGAATTTCTAAATAAGTATTCAATCAATTAAAAAAAAAAAATAA